GTGTGTGTGTGTGTGTGTGTGTGTCCATGCCCAAAATTTTGAAAGGAGGAACAAATGGAGGAGAAAAGATTGTGGTGTGGCCATCTGCAATGGAAGTGTGCTTTCTCACTTTTCCTCTCCTCCTCCCTCTCTCTAATGAGCACACATGCCCTCTGACAAAATTAAAAAAAAGTCTTATCAATGATAAATATGTATTTATCATCTTCTAGTTCTACTGGATTTATTTTTTGAATATGTATTTAGTTGGTCATATTTAAAAAAAAACACTTGTTCTTTTATTGATTTTTTTTTTTAGAGGTATTTGCTATAGGGTGCGTGCGCTCACCAGAAAGACAGAGACAGAGAGACAGAAAGTGAGAAATCACCCACCAGGGGGGATGGCCATGCCACAATCCCTTCTCCTCCATTCTCCTCTTGGGATCTTGGGCACGCACGCACATATGCCCGGTGTGAGTTTAAGCCACTGGGTCCGGGACTCAAACCGCGGTCGACTACATGGGAGTCCAGTGACATAGCCATTACACTAACTGCTGGTCCCGGTTTTTTTTTTTTTTTTTGAATGTGTGTTCACCAGAGAGAGATAGAAAGAAAGAAGAGTAAGAAATCACCATTTGCCTCATGGGATTTGGGCATGCAACCACAATGATTTTCAAGCCACTGGGTCTGGGATTCAAACCGTGCAATTGGACAAGAGGGATCCAGCGCCTTAAACTCTGTGCCACCTGTTGGTTCAGTTGTTCATATTTTTAACTCCACTGTGACGTGCCATCCCATAGCATCTTACTCTTATTAATATGCATATATCATAACTTAGTAAACCAATATATTTCATCAGTGTAACAATGCATATTATTATCAAATCACACATGGGTAAAAAAATCTATTTGAAGTATAAGATAGACTAAAAGATTTTTAATGTCACAGAGTACTAATTAATATTATTTCAGATTTCACATTGCAGTTAACCTTTATTAAGTTATCACTTGTTGAATATTTTGTGTGATATAAAAGAAAAATATCCATAATTATTTGAAAAGTCTTTAAAAATACTCCTGTCTTTTCCAAATACTTCTGTCTGTGAATCACATGTTCTCTCTTTTTTCCTCTGTATATTTTATCAAAAATAATACTTTCTAACAGATTAAAGGCAAATGCAGATACAAGAATTGAGCTCTTTTTTTAATTAGATCAAACACTGAAAACATTCTCAAAAGTATAAAAAATGCTACTTTTCTCACTCATTATTTTTGTTTTTGAAAATATCTATTTCATAAAGTTTGTACTTTATGTTGTTAAACTGTAAAAATAAAAATGTTAAACTAATATGTTTGAATTTTTATACATTACACCTATAGATAAAGCTCACATAAACAAATCCTCTTTGGGATTCTCCATACTCTTTAAAATTTTTTAAAGATTTTTGCCATAGAGTGCATTACACTTGCTGGAGAGAGACAGAGAGAGACAGTGAGAGGAACAGTGAGAAATCACCCCCCAGAGTGGATGGCCACATTGTAATCCTTTCTACTCCATTCTCCTGGAATTTTGAGCATGCACACACATGCACCCTGTATGATTTTCAAGCCACCAGATCTGGGACCCAAACCATGGTTGACCATGTGGGAGTCCAGAGCCAGAACCACTATGCCAAATTCTGGCTCCTCTCCCTGCTCTTTAAAACTGAAAAGTTTGAGAATCAACAAAATAAGGAAATCTGATTTATTAATTTTTAATGTATAATTTATTAAAGAAATAGAACTTTCTCAAGAGCTTTAGAAAACCTTTGTGGTTACATCTATAAATAAGTCTGTCTTTGGAAATATTTGAGAGAATCAATCAGATTTTTACCTGTGCACTTATAATTTAATATATACTACTAGGAAATATATTACATATGTAAGTAGTGTTGATTACTTAAAGAAACTTAAACTTAATGTTACTTTCACAAAATAATTGAATATTCAAGAATCAGTGATAAATTTTGTTTATATTTTTATTCAGAAATCATGAGCTTGACGTTATAAGTTTACTAACAAGGTTTACAATTTTAACAATAAGGTTATATATTTTTAAAAGTTTAAAATTAAACTTTTTGAGTTGTATGTTATTTCCAATACAAGTAAGTGTAGTAATTCTTTCTATGTATAATTGCAATTTAGTTATTAAAACACATTTTTAAAGAAAACACTAACATTTAGTAGAAGTGTATAGAGGTCTAAAAAATAGGATTACAGGGCTGAGACTTTTTTTTGTAAGGGAGATTTTCGCTATAGGGTGCTTGTGCTCACTGGAGAGAGAGAGAGAGAGAGCGAGAGAGAGAGAGAGAGGGAGAGGGAGAGAGCTCCTCCAAGAAATCGCCCCTCCCCAGGGGGATGACCACGCTGCAATCTCTTCTCCTCCATTCTTCTCTCTGGATTTTGGGCATTCATGCACACGTGCCCAGTGTGAGTTCCAAGCCGCTAGGTCTGGGACTTGAACAGCCGTTGAGTACATGGTAGTCCAGCAACATAACCATTACGCCATCTGCTGGTCCTAACAGGGTTGATACATTTTGATACAATGCTGAGGGTTATCCAGGAAGAACCCAATCAGTGGCATCTCTGGGTTTAGGTTTTTAAAGAGGAAGCACCACAGCACTGGAAGGTGGAGGCAAGTGCTAGGGGAAAGAAAGCCCCCCAGGAACAGTGGGTACTGAAGATAACCTCCATCAATATAATCAAATATAGTTGGGTGCACGCTTAGAGATACATACCCCTGCCACTTGAGAGGCTGTAATGAGTGATGATACCCTAGTTATGATTTACTTTTGACTCTTTTGGCTTCCCCTGATCCACTGCCTCATAATCCCATCCCATACTGGTCATATAGAATTCTCTGCCTTGCCCCAAACTTGCCATGTTTCATATTCACCTGTGTTTCTCCACACTGTTCCAATGGAAAATTATAAGTTGTAGTTGAATACTAGGAGTTTTGAATCCTATGCCAGTAACAGTTTACTATTACTTAGAGTCTTCAGAATAAATGATTCAATGTTTTAAAGGGGCGTACGTGAAAAAACCACATGCCAAGGTTTTCTAGAAATGGCCTATACTGGACTGAATACACCCACGTACTAAATCCTGAGACAGGTGCTTTATGCTCTTTTCAAAAATAGGGTCTTTGTAGATAATTTAGTTACAGATATCAGGATGAGGTAATTTTGGATTTAGGGTGGGCCTATATCCAATGACTGGTGTATTTCTGAGATGGGGGGACTGAGATTTGACACAGGACACAGGATGGGGTGTGATGGTAAGGTGTGAATTGCAGTGAGGCAGTTGAGGAATACCAAGGAAAAATGGCAACCACTAGACACCAGAAGAGGCCAGGAAGAATTTTCATTTAGACCTTCAGAGGGAGTATTGGCCTTTGGACATCTTGATTTTAGAATTCCAGCCTCCAGAGCTGTGAGAAAATACATTTGCATTATATTAAGCCAAGAAATTTGTGGTAATTTGTAACAAAAACCCCAGGAAAGCCTTCAATAGGGATAGATTCTTATCCATAATAGTATGCCACTTTAAAATTGGCACCATTTTCAGAATTGTATAGACTTATTCTCATTGTGGTAGCCATTCATGACCACAGTGATTTTTTTGTTTGGTTAATGAGCTTCTTTCTTTCTTTTTTCTTTTTTTTTAGAGAGATTTTTGCAATGGGCACATGTGCTCACTGGAGAGACAGAAAGTGAGAAATCATTCCCTAAGGGGATGGTCACACCACAATCCCTTTTCCTCCATTCTCCTCTTGGGATTTTGGGCACGCATACACATGCGCCCAGTGTGAGTTTTAAATCATTGGGTCCTGGGCTTGAACCATGGTCAACTATGTGAGAGTTCAGCGACATAACCATTACACCATCTGCTGGCTCTAAGGAGTTTCTTGTAATGATTTACTAATATTTCACCAAACCTTTTTACACACATACATTTTATGTCTTTGATTTTTGAAAATATTTCAAGGTGCTAATGAGTTTAAAAAATAAACTACATACTTTTTAAAATCAGATTTTATCTCATTTATTTATAAAGTCTGCTTTTATTTTATATCAGCATCCATCTACCCTTCCTACTGGCATGTATCCCTACAATGTCTGCATAAGATATTTGGCATGGCAATTAAATTTACTCAGATCATATTAAGTATCTCCATCTTGTATCTATCTATCCATCCATATCTATCCATCATCTATCTATCTATCATGATCGATCTATCTATCTCTATCTACAGGTTAGTCAGTTATGATCGTGTAGTAATAGCTACCATTTATTGAGCACATAACATTTATGTGTGCTTAATTTATGTCATTTCCAAATCCTTTGGCAATGTTGCAAAGTTAGTATTATTTGTTTTTTTATAATCAAAGAATTTGAGGTTCAGAGAAGTGAACTGACAGCTAACATAGGGCAGAATGATAATTGAAATTTCTTTTCTCTGTCTTCAAAGTCTCAAGGTTTTCTACTAGCCATTCTGCCCTTCCCAGAACTTTCTCTTAGTAATTTGAAATTTGATTTTTTTTTTACTTTTAGAAAAATGATACCTTCTGTATGTTGATTTAACCCACAATGTACTTGTACAACTATAGATACAGTCATAGAAAAATGTTCACACATGAAGTTCAACTTGGTTTAGTTTGGAAATATCTTTTCCAGTTGGTGCAACAGAATTTGGTAACTTAAGCTCCCAATTACTGGTAACCAAGTCTGCCTGGGCCTGGTAGGGTCTGTGGGGAGTTAGGAGCTTAGGGTCCTGAAAGAGGTCCCAAGGGTTGGGGGAGCAAAATGCTTTGGATGGGCACTTCGTGGTCCTTTGCCAATTAGGCATTTAAGGGACACGTCTGGCTCCAGATTCTCCCTTCTGTGACTTAAGAGTTCCATGTACAGGTGTCTCCTCTGCAAGCTTTTATTTCCACTGCATTTAGCAGTTCATCCTGACAGGGTTTTTCTCTCCTCTGGCCTACAGCTGAGTAGAATAAAATCGGCGCTTATCACAAATAACTGAAAGACATACAGAGACCTTTGATGGATTTTAGCCATTAGAAGCTATGGAGAACTGTGGGGCAAAAAGAACAAAAAAAGTAAAAACTTATAAATTAATAAAGCTCCCAGAAGCAGCTGCCTCTGATGTTCTTTGGATGTGAATGAGTCCGAATTCGCTCTCCTATCTTTCCTGTGCTACGACATCAGCCCCTCCTCTTAGAAGCTCCAAACAAACTTGCCTTCCTCTTTTCTTCCAGAATTGGTGCTTTGAGTCTCATTCCTTTAGGAAACAAAGTCCCTGCTTACATCCTCCCTTCTCAATTCTTAGCTCTGGAAATTATAACACACGTCCTTTTTCTTTTGGAGTTTTCTGTTTGGCCTCTTGGGGGCAGCAGTCCCTCAGTACTGATGGCTTTTCCAGAAGGGATCGCGATAAATTTCAAGAAGAATCAGTGACGGGTTGGTTTATCTTCCCCAGTGGAGCTTGTGGTGACATCACTGCTTCAATCCATCAACTAAAATAGTAAACCTCTGAATTAAAGTCAGATGTCTTTGTAAATTAACATAGAAGAAATTTGCCTATCTGATGAAAGGAACAGTTGATAAATTAGCTCACAGTCTAATTTAGCTCACTTTTATTTTTCTAAAATGCAACTTACACTTTTTTCTTCATCCAAAAAATTGAATTGTTCTTACACTGTTCCATGAATTTGTTTTTATACCTGACTGTGACCTCTATAACTTCTGTAAAGTCAAAGGCTATAAGGTATATACTTTTCATTTGTTTATTTATTTTAAAGTAAAAATTTTACTTTAAATTTATCTCTCGTAAAAACCATTCAGGGCTAGGACCAGCAGGTGGTGTGGAGGTTAAGGTGCTGGACACTCCCACATGGCCAACCACGGTTTGAGTCCTGGACCTGGTGGCTTGCTTTGTCACTTTCTCTCTTTCTCTCTCTGTGTGTTTGTCTTCTCTGGTCAAATTAAAATAAACGAATAAATAAAATAAAACAAGAACTGCTCAGGGAAATCCAGTTATTGTCTCAGCCCCTAATCTGTGAGAGTTGTATCCCAAACAGCCCTGAGAAATTGGGTTGGCTGGTTATTTTCTCTATTTTACATCATTCACATTAGAAAAACCAAGGCATTATATATTTAGATTCAATGTATGGCTGGCAACCAAATCTCGTCTCTCACATTCCATATTTTTCTTTAGCTCTTTGTCAATGTAAGCCTTCATGGTGTTTTCCTTGGACGTTCCTTTTAGCTCATTCCAAGCTTCTGCCTTGGCCTCTCCTTTGAGGTCCAACATTCTGGCTGCTCTATGCTAATGTCACCCACAGTCGCTTGTTTATAATAGCTGCAGATAAACAGCATCTCATTGTCCCCTGGCTTGGTCTCAAGGTGCTTAACCTCCTCAGCTGCTTTCTCAAATGCAGCCTGAGACATGCTGGCAGGGTTGCAAGGATTCCTGGGAGCCTGTGGAGGAGTCAAGAAGCAGGAAGCAATAGCCATTTTAACAAAAATTATACTAATAGTCATGAATGTATTTATGTAGGTATTTAATCAGGTGAAAGCTATTGGCTTGAATTAAATTATTTTTAATAAATATTTAAATGTCCATTTTAGGACAAGTATAATGTCAGATAATTAGGAGACAAAGATAAATGAGATATAATCCCTTTATTCTCAAGGACCTCACATGCCTTATTTATCCTTGTGTCCTAAATCCCTTTTGTCTTGTCTTTTTCCTTCCTTCCCTTCCCTTCCCTTCCCTTCCCTTCCCTTCCCTTCCCTTCCCTTCCCTTTTTTCTTTTCTTTATGCTAGAGAGAGCATGCACCACCAGAGAGAGAGAGAGGGAAAGTGAGAAGGCATTCTCCAAGGAGAATAGTCATGCTACAATCCCTTCTCCGTCTTTCCTTCCTTTTGCGACTTTGGGCAGGCACACACATGTGCACAATGTGTTTCTCACTACACCACTGGTTGGCCCTGTGTTCTGAATCATTATGTATTGTTAGCATAAGTTATAGAGGCAAAATGAAAATAGTTCCCACTGTCTCTGTCTTTCTCCAGTGAGCACACATGCCCTATGTAAAATCAAAGTAAAACAATACTTGAAGGAATTACACTGAGAAGTACTGTTCCTACTTAGGTCTCCATCTAGTCCCTACACCCCAGTTCAATCAAGCCCCATGTGTAATCACCTTCATTGATTTCACGTGTATTCTTTCAGTGTCCTCTATGCAGACAGAAGAAAATAGCATACATACATACGTATACATACACATGTATATATACATATAATGCACATACATAGTATTTTCTTTTTATATATATACAAGTTAATATATAAACCATTTTGATCATGCTTTTTCACTTAGTGTACCCCCAAAGTTCTTTTTATATCTGTACACAGAGGCTGCCTTTACTCTATTTGGGCAACTGAGGGTATTAGAAACAGTATAAGAGGAGGTGGGTAACAAAGTATGTGTGAGGCCAGAAACAACAGCCTGGTACAGATGTTGGCCTTCCAATGAGGGATGGGATTAAGCAGAAGGAGGCTTTGAGTAGCTTTTGCCAAGAGTCTATGACTTGGCTCTCTGTCTTGAAAGCATGATAAAATGAAACCTAACTTACCCCCATCTCCATTTGGTTCCAAATGCATATTCTGGAAGTTCCTTGTATTAGTTTGGTTCTGAGCAGATGGGTGAACCTTTCTATCCAGTCTCAAGCAAAATGAGCAGGTACTACCTCCAGCATGTCCAGACAATTGATGTGTCCCACCTGCATGTGGAAGGCCCAAAACAGAGTTTGATATTTAGTAAGAAGTAACAGGGTCTCAGGAAACCATTGACCAGTTTTTCCTCTTGACATCCTGACATCTCTCTCTCTTATTGAAATTAAAGATTTAAAATAGAGTAATATATAGCCCAAGGATGAGGAGGAACAGTAGATCTAAGTTGGGCAGATCCCCAAGTTTTACAAGATACAGCACAAAGATATGAACCAAGTTCTAGGGGTACACAAAGAACAAATCAGGAGCCAGGTGTTGGCACAGTGGTAATGCAATGGACCCCCATGGGAAAGCCCTGGCTCATGTCCTGGGACCTTTCTGGGCACACTGGACATTCATCTGTGTGCCTGTTATGGTGCCTGCTGCAACTGGGGGTGGACTGAGGTATGGAGACCTTGCCGTGGGGTTCTCTCTCTCAGTCTCTCTCTCTGTATCTGTATCTCTCTCATAGAAGAAATAAACTTAGTTTTTTTTTAAAGAAAGGATCAAAGGAATCTAAGGAAATAAGAAGGAATGAAGTTTTTCAGAGAAAGAGAAAAAGGCTTTCTAGGCAGAAGGAGCAGTATGTTCAAAAGCATGAGTTATGAGAAACCGGATACATTCATTGTGGCCAAATTGGAGGGCTCATAGAGATAGTGGTGGGCAGTGACAGGAAAGGGTCTTCTATGACAAAGAAGAGGGCTAGGGTTTTATGAACAGGCAATATGGAGCAAAGAGAAGTTTGTCAGCAGGAGAGTGAGAACAGTATAGAGTTTGTGTGTAAAACCAAGCTGGTGGCACACGGGAACTCACTGGAGTCGGAAGAGACTTGTGGCCTGAACTGAGAAGCCATTGCAATGGTCCAGCAGAAATTAAGGAGGAGTGGGCTAAACACAGATGAGAGACAAGGGACAGGGTCTACGTGGGAGAGGTTTCCTCTAGCCCACCATACTCCTGTGTTCCTTGACCAGCCTTGGGTTTGAACGTAAGTCATGTCAGGTGATTTATCTGCTTGGAACACTGATCATCCCATCTCATTCTGAGTAAAAGCCTAATTGGTGTAAATGGCTCACAAGGCCCTATATACTCTATTAGACTACAACCCTGGAGGGAGACAGGAGCTCTTCAGGAAACAAAGGATGTGCAGAGGCTTGACTTCTCAGCCTCTACTGGCTTCTCTCCTCATCCATCTCGGTCACGCAGGGCTGGGCAGCACCAGAGGGCTCTGGTTTCTGCATTAGTCAGTGCGGCATCTCCTTTGAGCCTGTTGGGAGGGATGGGAGTCTGGAAATTTGATGTGCATGAGAAGTTCCTGTGCTGGCCTTTAATGTGGGTGGCAGTGATGAAGGTGACAGCTACAAACAAGCATATTAATTCTGGTTCTGCAGTAGTTGAGCTTCTTGGCATGTTGTTGCAACATGACATATCATATTTTCTTCAGACCTTGACTGCCACAAAGTTACCAATATATGTGTTTGTAGAAGAAAGAAGTGTACCTGGGCTTTTATTTTTATCTTCTTTCTTTCTCTTTGGTTTGTGAACTTTGATCTTTGTTTAGATTGTCCTATTGTGGCAGGCCCCAAAAGATGACCACCTAGTCCCAGGAACCTGTTAATATAACTTTATAGGGCAGGGACCAGCAGTTAGCGTAATGGCTATGTTGCTGGACTCCCACGTAGTCGACCGCGGTTTGAATCCTGGACCCTGTGGCTTAAACTCACACCGGGTACGTGTGCATGCATGCCCAAGATCCCAAGAGGAGAATGGAGGAGAAGGGATTGTGGCGTGGCCATCCCCCCTGGAGGGTGATTTCTCGCTTTCTGTCTCTCTGTCTCTGTCTGTCTGTCTGGCAAGTGCACGCGCCCTATAGCA